GGCCTCTCACTGTTGCGGCCTCTCCCGTTGTGGAGCACAGGCTCCGCGGCATGTGGATCTTCCAGGACTGGGGCACGAATCCGTGTCCCCTGCATCGGCAGGCGGACTCTCAACCACTGCGCCATTTGGGAAGCCCCCTAAATTGTTTCTGTGTATAAGGCATTAAGGGGAGGGCACAGAAGTCCGAGAAACTGATATTACTCAAAGAGGTTTTAAGATAAAGTCCTATTTCCTTTTCCCTGAAGTACTTTGAAGTAATAATTAGATATTATCCGCTCTGGTTTCTCCATCCCCTGCCCACAGATTTATTTTTGTTTCAGAAATTGGAAGAAAACACACTTCTGTCTTAGGAGGAATAGAAAAGAAGAGGTCCATCCATAGTGAACTTTTGTGGACAGACCTGGTCCTGTTTCCCCAAGAAAAATTATTTGATTTCTTTCTTTAATAACAGAGACAACCAACAGTGATGACATAGAATTATGTATTTTCTTTTCTCATCTGGGTCATTGAGAAGTCAGGCTTCTTCCATTCTTTAATAAAAATATTACAAAGTAACAAGCATGCACCATGTTATTTAAAACAAGAAATAAAAATGTTGCAAGCCATTTTGTGCTTTGGGTACTTTCACTTAGTAACACAAGTTGTAGAATAGTGCTCTAGGCACATTGGTTACAGTTAAGCCAATTTTTACAGCTCAAGGAAGAATTTTTATATGGAAAATGTCCAAGAACGCCTCTATTTAAAAATGCAAGATTTAACTGGACAGCTACATGTAAAAGAATGAAATTAGAACACTACCTAACACCATACACAAAAATAAACTCCAAATGGATTAAAGACCTAAGTATAAGACCAGACACTATAAAACTCTTAGAGGAAAGCATAGGAAAAACACTTTTTGACATAAACCACAGCAAGATCTTTTTTGACCCACCTTCTAGAGTAATGGAAATAAAAACAAAAATAAATAAATGGGACCCAATTAAACTTAAAAGCTTTTGCACAGAAAAGGAAACCATAAACAAGACAAAAAGACAACCCTCAGAATGGGAGAAAATATTTGCAAATGAAACAATGGACAAAGGATTAATCTCCAAAATATACAAACAGCTAATGGAGCTCAATATCAAAAAAACAAGCAATTAAAATAAAACATGGGTGGAAGACCTAAATAGACATTTCACCAAGAAGACATACAGATGGCCAAGAGGCACATGAAAAGATGCTCAACATCACTAATTATTAGAGAAACGCAAATCAAAACTATAATGAGGTATCACCTCGCACTGGTCAGAATGGCCATTATCAAAAAATCTAGAAACAATAAATGCTGGAAAGGGTATGGTGAAAAGGGAACACTCCTGCGCTTTTGGTAGGAATGTAAATTGATACAGCCACTATGGAGAACAGTATGGAGGTTTCTTAAAAGACTAAAAATAGAACTACCATATGACCCAGCAATCCCACTACTGGGCATATACCCTGAGAGAAAACCAAAATTCAAAAAGAGTCATGTACCAAAATGTTCATTGCAGTACTATTTACAATAGCCAGGACATGGAACCAACCTAAATGTCCATCGACAGATGAATGGATAAAGAAGATATGGCACATATATACAATGGCAAGTACTCAGCCATAAAATGAAACGAAATTGAGTTATCTGTAGTGAGGTGGATGGAACTAGAGTCTATCATTCAGAGTGAAGTAAGTCAGAAAGAGAAAAACAAATACCGTATGCTAACACATATATATGGAATCTAAAAAAAAAAAAAAAGGTACTGATGAACCTAATTGCAGGGCAGGAATAAAGACACAGGCTTAGAGAGTGGACTTGACATGGTGGTCAGGGGGAAGCTGGGGCAAAGTGAGAGTAGCATCGACATATATACACTACCAAATTTAAAATAGTTAGCTAATGGGGAGCAGCAGCATAGCACAGGGAGATCAGCTCGGTGCTCTGTGACCACCTAGAGGGGTGGGATAGGGAGGGTGGGAAGGAGGCTCAAGAGGGAGGGGATGTAGGGATATATGTATGCATATGGCTGATTCACTTCGTTGTACAACAGAAACTAATTGTACTGTGAAGCAATTATAATCCAGTAAATATCTATTAAAAAAAAAAGAGAGAGTAGTATTCCAGAGTAGTGTTTCCCAAAATGTATTCCACCACATATTAGCTCTAAGAGTTGACCTTTGAAAAATGGATCCCATGGTCAAATAAATCTAGGTAATGTAGCAAAGCTATTCCTCTCTCATAGAGTTTAACCATTAGTGCATTAAAGGCTCTGATAAGTACAGCTATAAAGAACTTGTTTTTTGGACAATTCATGGAACTGGTGTTTCCTTAACACACTTCAGGATACACTGCCTCTGGCAGAGGCTGTAATTGTCCCTTGTAACCATTCTCTTTTTCCTTTTAGTAAGAGAATCTCTGAATTGTAGTGAGGTATATAGCTTTCCAGGTAAACACTACATTTTCTAGCTTCTTTATAACCGGTTGCAGCTGTGTGAATGATTTTTTTGCCAGTAGAATGTGAGCAAAATTGATGTGAGCAAAACGGAGTGTTGCTCCTTTGAAAGGAAGTTGCTTGCCCTCTACTTTCTATCTTTCCCCATTCTTGCTGGCTGGAACGCTAAATTGCTGGTGACTCAGTTTTGACCATCTAGCCAGACAACACTGCAGGGGATGCCAAATGAAAAGATATAAGGAGTCTGGGTCCTGGATGTTTTTGAGGACTCGCCGTTTATATCTGAATTGTTTCATGGAAGATAAATAAAATTCATTTTGTTTGAAGCATTCAAAAAAAAAAAAAGCGAGATTTATCAAAAGTTTCTTGGAATACTGGCAGAATGGTGGAGAGAACCCGGACTTTGTTATACTCCTTGCTCAAATGTGGCTGTGAAGCTTAGTAGTAATTTCACCTTGGGGAAATGATGATCTATTTGAATCTCAAGTTCCTCATCAATAAAATATGACGAAAATATCCCAGACACAGGCTTGTTAATAATGAAAATAGCGTACGTAAAATACTTGACTCCATATCTGGTGCAAAGTAAGGGGCTCAATAAATGTAATATTCTCCTTACCTTGGGAAAAAAAAAAACACTAAAAGACAGGGACTCTAATGCTCATAGAAGCTTTATTTATAATAGTCCCAACTGTAAACAACCCAAGTGATAGCCCGAAATGACCATCAATATTAGACTGAATTTTTAAAGGTTGGATAATCATACTATGCAATACTATACAGCATGAACTACTGTTACTATAAAAGCATGGATAAATCTCACTAACATAATGTTAAGTGACACAAAATAATACATACTATATAATTCCATTGAAAGAAAGTTCAGAAACAGGCAAAATTAATCTACAGTGACAGAGGTCAGAAGTCTTAGCCTTTTGGAGGGAGGTTAGGTTGGAAGGGGGAAAGAAGGAGACTGCTGGGGTACTGGAAAGAGTCTATGTCTTTACCTGCATAGTTGTGGTCATTAGAAGGGTATATGTATGTAAAAGTTCATCAAACTGTACACTTAAGATTTGTACATTGTACATGTACATTATTTACCTTTGTACATATAAAAATAATATATCAACCCCCCCCAAAATTCCTCCTGTTTCTTTTGTCCCAGGAGCTAGATTTTATATCAATATCGAATTTATTCATTAGGAGAATATCTGGCTCTAGATATGACACACCATAGCTGGCTATCTTGCAGGCTGAGTCTGTCCCTTGTAAGTGGCCCCATTTCAGAGCTGGCCTGGAGGTGACAGGCATATTATGAAGGTCATGGTCCAACACCATTAACAGCCGGAGATGCCATCACATGCCATCAGCAAAAAAACACAGGGAAAACCAGGCAGTGGACTGTGCTTCCCACCCTTAGGCTGCGAGGCACAAGCCCCAGCAATGGAAGGATTAAAAAGCATCTCAATTTAAGAAGACAGGGAGAGGGGAGGGGAATGTGGGCTGCACAATTTATAAATAGACATTACCAGAGGCTGCCTGATGGTGAAGTGGTTGTTTAGTAAATCTTTCTCCTTTAAGGATTCCATTATCAGAGACCATATGAAAACATCAGTTTCGTTTTGTCTTTTGAGGGAGATCCTGGGTTTCATCAAGTCAGCCCTGTTGGGTAATATTTCTCTCTGGCAGATTTAGGAACAGGCCTTCGATATTTTGAATCACCTTTACATGGAGCACAAAGATGATGACGATGATGATGTGTCTTTTGCCAAATGGATGAGCAGCTTCTGGGGTCACAGCTGGATAGAGGAGGATGAGAGAGGACTCCGGGACCGCCATGGATCACAGAACTCCAGTTACAGGAAAACCTCCCTGCCCTGCCCAGTGAGTTATTATGATGGAACCGGGGGAGAGCTAGACTAGGGGAAGGGGATTTCTCTTAGATCTTTTTGAGAGTCCTTTGGTATAAAGTTTTCTTTGGTTGAAAGTGAGTACTTCCAAACCTTTTTTTATACTCACAAAAATCCCTTTTATCATTTTGTCTTGTCCTCCAAGGGACCTGATTTTCATCTATTAAGTAATGATTCCTTCATTTTTAGCAACCTAAGATATATTTAACCGCTATTCAGAGCTCCTGATAAGCCTGGCATAATCCTATTGGGTGGTAATATAATTCAAGCCAAAGGAAAGAAACCTGATGTTATAGTCTGTGTAGGATTGTTGTGGATCACTGTTTGATTTCCAATAGTCTTTTTGAAATACTGAAAATAGCTCCACTATTTGGTGACATCTAAGGAATTGGGGATTCCACATAATAAATCACTACCTCTGATAAATTTGATACACTCTTTCTGCTGGTTCTCAGTTGGTTTCCTGATGGGAGACAAAGCCAACATTCTACCACCCTCAGCACTATTTTTCCATGGCTAGGCAGAGCACCCGGTGTCAGGGGAGCAGGAAAGCTCCCAAGAGGGGAGCGGGTGGGCCTGACCAGGTGTGGACTCAGCAGTGGGTACACATGTCACTTAGAATTCCAGCTACCAGAGAATATTTCTCCAACCCCCTGCTACTGCTAACTCCAGAACCAAATAAGTTTTGGGGTAATGTTATTTTATTTTTAGCTCCAGAGTTCCCAGAAGCATAATGCATGTGAAGTATATTAAAACTTGTAAGGCAATCTTTTACGCCCAATGATCATCAAGTTTGAGGAATAAGACCTCTCTGAGACACAAATATTTGAAAATAGATCTCTTACCAAACGCGTAATCAGGGACAAAGGGCGCATTTCAACACCTCATTGAACTTCAGGTTCTTTAAGTAAAAAAGGAGAGAGGTTGCACTGGTTGATCTCCAAGAACCCTTCTAGCTCTCGCTTTCCATGATTCTGTTACAAAATAAACACCTGCTTATCACGCTCTCATTTCAATCTCTTATGCCCACATTGAGTGAGGTATACATAATGTGTGAACCAGGAGTATGACTAGTGTTCAGCCAGACAGTGAGAACCAGGAAGAAACAAAGAGAAAAAATGAGATTCGCTATTTATCACAACAGCCCTTTGGAGCCACAGAAACTATGAAATTAAAGAAAGAAACATGACTTATAAAATATAGTTTCTTGAATAAATTTTAATATCTGTTAGACTTTAAAAACTGGGATAATCTACCCTATTTCAAAAATCCACTTATAGGTTACAATATTGTTTGCCTTAAGCTCTTGGGGAATAGCAAAATTTATTTTGTATAACATTTCTAAATGGGGTCCATATATCTTTTCCTGCTCGTACTGGCTTTGGACATTTGCCTGAATTAACCTGTTTAGATTCTCTGAGTTGACAATGAATTCCATAATTATCAGGATAACATGCAGAAAGCATGTGTTTATCTAAGGAGACAAAGCATGGGATAAACATGACAACCTGACTGATTTGAGAAAACACAGATCAGGGGACCTTGGGTGATGTGGGCAGAGTCCTAGAAAATGGGGGGTCTGATTCTTCATCTCTACTCACACAATGCCATGTATTTGTGAAGTGAATCTGTAGTTGGATACTTAAGTTTTCCTAACTCTAAGATGTGCTCAAATTTTTCGTACTTTAGAGATATGAGAAAAATTAGGTTTTGAAGTTTTGTGTTTTGCTTTGAGCTCAATAAAACACCTTAAAAAAAAAAAAAAGCTGGGCTTCCCTGGTGGCACAGTGGTTGGGAGTCCGCCTGCCGATGCAGGGGACACAAGTTCGTGCCCCGATCCGGGAGGATCCCGCATGCTGCGAAGCGGCTGGGCCCGTGAGCCATGGCCGCTGAGCCTGCGCTCCGCAACGGGAGAGGCCGCAGCGGTGAGAGGCCCGCGTACCGCAAAAAAAAAAAAAAAAAAGCTTACTTTTAGCCTTATCTTTTTCCTTCTCTCCCCACTGCTCCACTCTAAGGCTCTTCCCTCTTGCAACCTATTAGTAACCTACATCCATCAGTATTGCATGCAAAGGAAGAGAAGAATTTTCCCCTTCTTTCCTATTTGAATGTGGTTTCTAATATGGCTCTTCAGCCTCATGATTCTTGGAAAACCATAGCGATGGAGCATTAAATCATTAAACATATTTATAGAACACCTACTGTGTGCCAGGCATTGTGCAAGGCACAATAGGCTTACAGGGAAAAAGAAGACATATGATGTTTGTTCTTGTGGCACTTCTAATCTGGTGGAAGACACAAATTTGGCAGGAAGAATGAGGTAGACAAGGGGTAAAACTTGGTCCTTCTCAGAGAACACTACTTTTTTGACAAGACTCATTATAATCTGCGACTGCTGATTTAAAGCAAATTAAAAAATCTAACTTTACTCTCCTGAGGTGCTTGGTGAAAAAAAATAAGGTAGTAATATGAAGTCTCTCTTATTACTCTCTCATATGAAGGTAGAACTAATCTACCCTCTCCCTCCATCGTCACAGGAATACAAACTTGAAGTAGAACAATGTCCATATCCCTTATTTATTCTACTCATTGAAAGTGAATTTTAAATAGTCTATTTGACTTTTTAGTCATCTTCTCCTTCAGCTTAACATGGTTTTCTTAACACTGTTCTATACAGTTAGGGCCTGGTGGAAGGGAGGATTATGCTGAATGAAAGATCTCTTCAAGGAGGAACTGAGTTCCCTGACCTGGGGCTTTGCTAACTCAACATGGACTTTCCCAGTGCTTCTTTGATGCTCACATAAGCACATGTGCTGGTCTACATCATATCATTTGAGGGGTACAAAATAAACCTCTACCTATCTGCACACAAGGGTTTTTTTTTCTTTTTGAAAGTATAAAAGAGATGCAATAGGGAGGGGATATGGGGATATATGTATGCGTATAGCTCATTCATTTTGTTATAGAGTAGAAACTAACACAACACTGTAAAGCAATTATACTCCAATAAAGATGTTAAAAAAATAATCACCTTTAACCAATTTTATATTCTGTCATCATATTCTCAATTTAAAGCTGTAGAAGATATATCTAATTTTAATTTTTATCCCTGATTGACCCAAGGGTGGCTACACACTCTCGTCCTTGTAGTATCTCACTGCAGCGGTGGTCCTCCTGTAGTTGCTCACTACAGGGATGGGGTGGGGCATGGCCCCCTTAGAGGATTTCTCAAACCCGAAGAGAGAGGGGATGCCCTAAAGTTTCATGACAAACAGTGGTTCCTTGTTTTTCAGATTAAATTTGTATTTAATTTTAAGAGGAGACAATGCCTTAATCCAAAGAAATGAAACGACGAATAGAATTTCAGGCATCAGGGATGTTTCTACAGAGGAGCTTTTATCATAATGTTCTATGGACTTGTTTCTTCTACCAGATGCTGAGATAGAGGAGTTGCTGGGAAGGCAGCAGAGTGGAGTGGGTAAGAGTGAGGGCTCTGGCAGCATTACTCTGAGCAAGTTACCTAACCTCTCTCTGTCTGAGATTCCCTCTATGTAAATGGAATTGATGATAATAGTACATACGTCATATGGGTGTTGTTAAGATCCAGTGAGTAATGTATACAGCGTGCTTAGGACAGTGCCTGATACCTAATAAGTACTTCTTCTCCTCCTCTCCTACCCTGCACCTTCCCCTCTCCATCCTCCTCCTCCTTCTTATGTGTCAGAGTTTAAAATGTCTTTTAGTTTCCCTAAAGGATGCCCAGTGGATGGTAACTGACGTACCATGTTGTTTGTTTTTTGTTTTTCTGTTTTTTTTGCGGTACACGGGCCTCTCACTGTTGTGGCCTCTCCCGTTGCGGAGCACAGGCTCCGGACGCGCAGGCTCAGCAACCACGGCTCACGGGCCCAGCCGCTCCGCGGCATGTGGGATCTTCCCGGACCAGGGCACGAACCCGTGTCCCCTGCTTCGGCAGGCGGACTCTCAACCACTGCACCACCAGGGAAGCCCTGACCTACCGTTTTACCAGTTGAACACTTGAATCTTTTTTTTTCCCTGATGCTGTTGCCATATATAGCTAGTTGACTATAACCCTCTTGGCTCTGTTGATAGGCAATTAGTCTACATTATAAAATATTCCTCACATAAAAGTCTTTTAGACTAATTCCTAAAACCTACAAATTATTATTACTTTCGTAATCGAATTCTGTTACAACTGGTACATTATTAAAAGTCACATTTACAGGAAGCTTCACATAGAAATAGAATGAAGTTGTTGCTGCTGTTGAAGACAGAAGTTTGGGATTATTCAGCCGAGGAAGATATGTCTTACGCTTAGACATGGCACTTTACCTCTCCTGTAAAGTCACTAGTCACATGTCATAGGCAAGTCACTTAGCCAAACTAAGATTCATTTTCTTCATCTGTAAAAGGGGAAAAATAACTCCCTTGTAGGATTTGTTCTGAGGTTAGATATAAGGGCATGGTCCCCAGAGTCCCTGACACACACGGTGCACTAAGATTCAACATGGGTCTTACTGTCTCAACACCTGGATCTTTCTCCCTCTTGTTTCTCATCTTGCTGTTGATGGGTGGCTCAGGTGCTTTCATTTACTCAGAGGGCAGGAGGGGTACAACTGAAGGGTGATTGCAATTAAACCCAGAATAAAAAACATCAAGTAGTTAAGTTCTTGAAGTGAAGATGTTACATAACAATTTTTTTTTTTTAAGTGAGGACCTATGGCTTGGGGTTAGAGAGTGCATAGGATTTATTTTTTGACAGAAATGTTTTTCTGGGACCACAGTAGGAAACAGCATTGTTTTTCAGAGGACTGTTTTCTAGTGAGAGTCAGGGCACTGGTGGTTATTGCTCAGAAAAATCCATGCCTGCTGCAGGCTTTGTAGCCTGGGAGCTGGGGAGTCCAGGTGTCGAGCTCGGAGCGTGGGGATCCCATTCCACGTTCTAGAGCCTGCTTCACG